GCGAGCGGGGAGAGGTTGGGACACGTGGTGAGGAAGCAGTTGAGGAAGTGGGCTACGGCAGCCGAAAGGAACATCGGGTCTACCTCCTGAGCGTACGTCTTGTAGATATGCTTTGTTGATCGAATAAGCACTTCGGAGACTGCTAGACGCTGCAAAAAATCAAGAGTATACAGCCTGTCTTAAAGGAGATAAACCTCTTAAAGCTGTGAATTCCTTGAACATACTTAGGATGGGCTGGTGTCTAAGAGAAACAAATCGAAGGCAAAGCAACCTAGCGACAGAAATGATGATCATGAATAAAATGGCAGAGGGCGCCCACCGATCGCGTTACGAGACCTACTTGGGCCATGTTGCTTTGGAGTTCGATTTAGAGTCCTCAGTCATAGCTATTAACATTTTATGCAGAGGAAGAAGGACTAGAATTTGCATTTTTGTGATTATTATCCGTCATCAGTCTACCATGCTCAACCAATGAGGCTCAAACATGCGGACTGCTGATGGTAAGAAGAAGGCTTTAATCACTTATTTACGAGCCCGCTGTTCTGTCAGTTGCGGCCGGGCTATGGGACTTACTCCTTTTTAGTCCATGGCTAGCCTTTGCAAAAAAATACTTGCCAGTACTGGAGACACTGTTATTCGCGAACAAAGTATGAGTGAAGTTTAAATAAAGAGGGTAAGTTTGTGGTTGTTAGAACGCAGGACTGGTGAGGCAGTGGGTGAAGGCATAGGTCTCTGACAAGACAATTGCAGGAAAGCAAAGCAACTTACGTGGAGGTAGGCAAGATTCTCCTTATCTGCAAGTGCTTCTATTACACGATTCAGGTAGCGCACGTTGATGCCCCTGAAGAAGACGATAAAAAATTTAATAGGGAACCTTTTAAGGGGTGGATTTGTCATGATTAGTCACCTTACGTTGAAAAAGGCCACTTGTCTTGTCTCCAAAATGAATAAATCGGAGCAGTTGTAGGTTAGACTCCGGATTTTTTTAAGTCCTCTACATTCTTTTGAGCATGGCTGCTCCTACTTGCACGGTATTAGCATTCCAGCAACTTAAACTGTCAATGATTATGTTTTATTTACCCTAAAACAGCTAAGGGCAGCGGAGCGTTAAGTCTGTATGCGACCTGAAAGGAAATATGTGCAAACTGCTACCTTGAGACAAACAATAACCAAGGGGTTCTTTTAACCCGCTTCCTTCTGGTAACAGGTTTGTTCTCATTGTTTTGCCGCTTTGATGGGAATTAGCTTATGAATTTAGTTATACAAGACGCAATCCCTAAGAGAATGTAAAATAAAGCTTGTTTGATCTTCATTCAACTCCACGCCGACGGATCTGCCCATAAAACACAACGACAATTGTGCAGTAAGATGCAATCAAGACAAACTGAAGGCTTACGTCCGGAAGTTTGCAGGTACAAAGGGACAATAAAATGCATTAATAGCTTGAGCTGGCTGCAAGCGCAAGCAAGGTAAAATCAGTGGTGAAAGGGGAGGGGCAAGGAAAACCACCTCTGATGAAGTGTTTCAACAAGAGCGCGTCCGTCCTGTGGCATAACCGTGAAGGCCAGACAGTCCTGAATAAAGGTCGGGATTTGGGTGAGGACGAGGAACTCGCACACTTCGCAGATTAATTTCTCATCCTTCTTCACGGCGTCTTCCTAGAAAGGGACAGGAGGGAAACACGTTAAAATAAGGATAGTGCCACACAAGGTTTCATTATATTAAACCCTGCTGGTATATGGAGTGTCTGGAAAGGAGTCAGCGGTGATAGATTTCAAGTCGGACTTAGCATTAGCTACAACTCTACTCGGTCCGTATTTTCGTGTGGTTTCGCAAAGTTATGCGTCGCGCACCTACCATGCTGCAGGAACCTGTTTTTATAGGAAAGCCGGATGAAAGTATGCGGTATATCCCTAACACTGAAGAATTTACCTGAAAATGAGAGAGCCAGTGAATTGTCGAAAACGTAAACTGAGCCTCTGAGCGAAGTGAGTCGTACGGCCGAAAGCATCTATGTGCTATTTATCTAGTTTTACCCTTGAAACTGATGTCCGAACGACAGAACTCGTCCAGAGGTGCGCGAACCTTCCTTCTTTAATCTAGCATCGCTCCTTCGCGGAGTAGCCAATGTCTCTGTTGTCTGTGATACCAAACGTCAACCAAATCAAATTGGTGCCAGTCACCACTACTGTAATAGAGGTGATCGTTTCGGAACGCAGCAGACAAACTGCCGAAACCATAACCTTGGTCCGCGGAAATGGAGGCTGCAAAATACCCACACCAGGAACTGTGGTGCGTCCATCACCTTTCGATAAAACATTTGTTGAAAATAGTGGCAGGATTGACAGCGCAAGCGTTAGCTAGTCGCGCTTATTGATACAGTCCTGCGAGATTGTCGGTTTGCATAAATAATGGCAGTGATGTCAATAGCGAATTCGGTCATGCAATCACGACCTGAGGTCATGGTAAAGTTTAGATTGGGTTGTGAATGACAATAAACACGGATAAAACTACTAAGAGCAGAGGTGGGCAAGCAAAGATTGGAGAGATTGAGACCAACACTGCTATGTACATCTTTATGCTTTCTTCCATAGACCATACCGTCGGGCAACGGCTGCAACCAAAACCAAAAATGTGTGCAAATAGTGGTGTTGATCCAGAAAAATATCTATCCAATGCTACGAAATTGGAGTTCCATCAGCCTCTTTCCATCTGCTTTTTTCTTAGCTGGACAATTTTCCGCAAGAACCCTGCGTGTGATAACTTGAAAACAGAAAAAAAATGGGCTCTAAACGATGTAGACAGTATTCGCTAAAAAGTGACCGTTTTTGGGTCACAGAACCGATAATCTAGTTGCTAGGTGCGTCCACATGTGGCGGACAGTAGAACAGACTTCAAGGGTTAGCTACAAAATAAGCAGTCGCGACCTAGCCGGTACGGTGATACCAAGACGAGGAGGATTGGGGTCAGGCACGCCGACTGTTTTATAAAGTTCCCGATGAAGACTACGAAATGGACACCATGAATCTCCACTAAAACAATTCGCTTGCGACTGCTACCTTATGGTTATGTTCCCAAGACAAGACACTGGAGAAGAGAACGACTAACAGACAATCTGAACGGCTCTTGGATACCCCCAACACCCAAGAAACCGCACGGAGGCTGCGGAAGCCGACGCGCTCCGCAAACCTGGTCACATGATGCGGGTGAACAGTATGCGATCTGGAGTACTTAATCGAAAACAGAGTGCTTGTGTTGGATGCTGGAGTGAGCGAACACTCCCGAACCATCGTACCGAAAATCTAACGGCACGCAGTCTTCGTCAGTACAACATGAATGTTAGCTGTCCACCCGAAGTGTGAATTACCCATCCAGACCCTCAGGAAATCAAGATTCCGGGAGTAAACTCCAGCTTCACC